TCCTCCAGAGAGTGAAGGAGAGGGACCAGGCGCCATGTCAGGCAAGGACCTTTCCCTGGGATTTCAATCACTAGCATTGAGGCGGACACAGGACAGGCGAGAGGTGATGAGACAACAGTGAGAGCCCTTCACTCTCTCCAACCCTTTTCATCTGGGGATCTGAAAGCACTTTGCAAACTCTTCATCCATTCTGAGGCTAGAGGGAACCACTGTGACCAGCTGGTCTGAGCTCATCATTTCTGGCCGAGCTACAGCAGATCCAGTAGAAAGATATTTGTGTGGGGGGGTGGAGGGTGAGAAAACCTGGATTTGTGCTGGAAATGGCCCACCTGTTGATCACTTTAGATAAGCTATTATCAGCAGGACAGTGGGGTGGGAGGAGGTATTGTTTCATATTCTCTGTGTGTATATAAAATCTGCTGCAGTTTCCACGGTATACATCTGATGAAGTGAGCTGTAGCTCACGAAAGCTCATGCTCAAATAAATTGGTTAGTCTCTAAGGTGCCACAAGTACTCCTTTTCTTTTTGCGAATACAAACTAACACGGCTGTTCCTCTGAAACCAGTAGAAAGACAGCGTCTCCATGGAAAGACCCCCAAGGATGGAGAATCCACCCCCTCCCAAGGAAAGCTGTTCCAATGCTTAATTACCAGCACTTCCATTGTGCCTTATTTCTAGACTGAATTTGTCTAGCTACAGCTTCCAACTACTGGACCTTCTTATGCCTTTCTCTCCTAGATTGACCAGCTGCTTACTGTCATCTCTCTCTTCTGGCTTTGTCTGCCTGTTCTCCAGCTCTGCAGGGGACATAGAGCACCCCCCAGCACACTGGAAAGTCAGCACCTGAGCATGGGGTGGGAGACCAAGGCGATGGTGCTTGGACGCCGAAGAGCTGACAGGTGCACACGAGACGGCCTGGAGGGTCAGAAGTGCAGTTAGCCCAGGGACGAACGTTTAAGCACATTCATACCACTATGGCTGCGTCCACACTAGGGGCAACTGTCCCGGTATCAGCCCTACGGGCCAGGTCAAAGCGACACCCCTTTGAGCATAGCCACGTCCTCAGGCTGCCTCAGAGAAAGCAGAGCAGCCTGGCCATCGACCCTGCACGAGACCGAGGGCTGCTGAGTGCTGTGTAGCTGGTCAACCAGCCCGTCGGCCGGGGAAGTGCGTCCTGCCTCGCACAGGAACACCAGGAGCTGCAGGGGTGATATTTGCTCTGGTGACACCCCCAGGTGTTGTGCTCTCGACTCTCCTGGGCCCCTCGTCTTTTGTCTCTACAGATGTGGTCAAACTCCGTTCAGGTCACCACGGTCCGTGTGCGTCTGGCTCAGTGCAGGCCCTGGGGACAGCTCAGAGCGTCTGGCAAGGCTCAGCGCAGGATAGCCAGGGGCGAGCGGAGGCGGACGTGCTTCGGCCAAGCTAGCTGAGTACCGGACTCAGCAAATGGGGGTCAGTCTGGACTGAGGGGGGGTCAGCAGAGCTGTGTCTGGGCTGGGGCCCCAGGGTGGCATAGCCAGGGTGGGCTGCACAGCTGAAGTGCACAGTGTGATCTGGAGTGCAGGCCATGGCCGTGCAAGTCCTAGCCAGGGCCGTGAGTCTGTCTGTCCTAAGACTCAAACCCAGCCCTTCCATGTCTCAGAAAAGGGCACAAGAGGCGGTGCGGGGGCAGAGGGGTCAGTGTCTAATGCAGGGGGGTCCACGTCTAATGACACAGCGTTGCACTATTGTTCTGGGAGAAGCTGTGCTCACTGGCACTGCAGGAATCAGCTCAAATAGCTAGAAACAAATTGCTAATATTCGCTCAGGTGCAGGAAGGTTAAATTCCCGCCCATGCGACAAACCTTCCTCTGCAAGCAGGAAAGCAGCTGGGCGAAGGCAGGATTTTTTCCATTCTCTCCTGGGATGGGAGGAGAGCAGATTGCAGAAGAGGAAGAGAGCGGGGTTTACTGCAAACCCTTAGAAAACAGCACCCAGACCAGGAGCAGCTGGGCAGGGACAGAACTGCAACTGCCCACACTACCTGCAGGGGGCACTCACACCTCCCCAGGCTCTTCCCTCTCGAGTGCCGGGACATTGGTTTGGGAGCAGCCCGTGGCCCTATGCCTGGGGGAGCATGGAATGGGCTCGAGCCGATGTCCTGTGTGGGGGAAAGTCAGCCAGATAAAGTGCCTCGTGGCAGAGGGAGACACGCAGCCGTGCAGGGGAGAGGGCAGCTGCCCCACTGGGACCAGCCCGTGGTGGGGTGAGGCTGAAGAAATTAGTGGCTCTGGGGTTCCCCTCACTCACCTGGGGATTTCCACACCAGTTTCACATTAGCTGCAAGCAGAAGCATGCTGTGATGTTACACCCCATATTCTTTATGGAAATATGGTTACGATACGGTCTGGCTAAGATCTACTCTCTGCAAGATGGCTCCTGTGCGGCGTCATTGGAAAGGGGATGATTTACAGAACGTGTTCTCCAATGTGCATGCCTGTATCACTGCTGTACCTGAAGCTGGGAACATGGACCACATCTCCGTATTTCAAATGGGCTACGCTGGATGAGGCCGAACAATGTTAGTGCCTTATGGAGGAAAGGCACACAAGCAAAAGGATCACCCCAGGAACTGTGTGTAAAATAGAAACTTCTCAGAGATAGCTCGACACAAGGGGAACTGCTTGACCCAGATCACAGAAAAAAGCTTTCCAGCACATGGGGGAAGGATATAAAAGAGGGACCATGACAACATGAGGGGGCTTCACTCTCCTTACAACAACACACCTGAAAACACCCGAGGAACAAAGACTGAACTGTGGGAAGTGCTGGTCCCAGGCAAAGAGCTTGAGCCTGTATATGAAAACCTGGGAAAGCCAAGGCAGCCTGGGCCATAAGACTCCGCCAGCCTGTTTATCGCTCAGGGTGGGAATTTGTTAATTTGTACCCTGCCTGTCGAGTGCGTTAAGGTCAGTCTGCAGCTTTTGTTTCATTTGCTCCGTGATCAGCTTTGTTCTGTTTGCTACCCCCCGTTACTGCTTAACAGCTGCCTTTTACAGTTAATATATTTCTTTTGTTTATTATTAAACCCAGTTTCTGTCATTTCTAACAGGGGAGTAAGAAGTGTGCACACCTCTCCCCACATTGAGGGAGGGGGCGAATTTCATAATAGATCTGTGGGTCTGCCCTCCAAGGGAGGTGGACATCTGATGCTGGAGCAAGTCCCGGAAGCTGAGTCTTCCCAGAGCTGATCTGCGGCTGGGTGGGGCCCTGCCTGTGTGCTGGAGGAGGTTTTAATCACCAGGCTCAGCAAGACAGGCTAAAGAGGGCCCAGGCCGGCAGAACAGGTAGACTCAGTGGTATCTCAGCACATCAGGGGGCTTCCCAAGGGGTCCAACCCGTCATACACGTCACCAGCAGCTTTCCAGGAATATGCAGCCCCGCAGGAGTCAGGTGGCTGCCTACTAGCCTGTGCTGTTTAGCCTCAAAAACAAAGGCCCTGCCTTACCATCCAAACACCAGCACTGCAACTCTTGGTATGAAAACCTCGTGCTGCAGGCCACCCACTTGCTGGGCACCATGGCCAGGACCAGGGGGCTGGCCTGGTGCCCCAGCTCCAGCAGTGGACAGGGGTGCCACTCCTTTCCGGGGGCGGCCCGATGTCCCGGGGGAGGCTTCGCAGCAGGCACGCTCAGACGGTGCCTGTATCATTTTTGTATCTGAAGTTATAATTATTGGCTCTATACCTGGATTTCAAATGTTGGCCCGTGGGGTACCGCCCACAAGGTAGCACCCAGCACGTCTCGGAGGGACTGTTCAAATTAAGTAGCTCATCAAGAAACACTTGGCTGACAACGGACCAGGGGAGACGCCCATCTGCACTGCGTGGACTGTCACGTAAACTGCTGTCTGGAGTGCAGTTAATGGCTTCCTGCAGTGATTGAGCAAAATGGGGCATAAACATGTGACTTGCCCATGTGACCCCAAACACCATCTTGGTGCTGTAATTTTCCACAGTAGGAACAATGGGTTTCCCTCCACATGGCAAAAGCTATAAAAGGCCCTGGAAACCCCTCCACTTTGTCTTCAGTCCTGCTTCTTACCTCTGGAGGAACTTTGCTACAAACTGAAGCTCTGAACCAAGGACTGAAAGACCCATTCCGGCTGGGGATGTTCTCCAGAGACTTGATTTGAACCTGCCGTTTATTCCATCACTGCAACAAGCCTGAACCAAGAACTTTGCCATTGTATGTAATTGATTCCTTTAACCAATTTTAACTCTCACCTTCCTTCCTATAAATAAACCTTGAGATACTAAAGGATTGGCATCAGCGTGATTTTTGGGTAAGATGTAAGTTATATATTGACCTGGGTATGTGGCAGATCCTTTGGGATCAGGAGAAGCTTTTATTTGATGAGACTGGTTGTAAAGAATCACTCATCTTAAAATCCAGTTTTTAGTGGTAATACAAGGACTGGGATGCCTAAGGAAACTGCTTTTATAACTTCTTGTTAGCCAGTGTGGTGAAACAGAAGTTTACTTTTGTGGTTGGTTTGGTATATCCTATGGGAGATTAGCCACCAGTCCAGGGTGTCTCTGCCCCATTACTCAGCAGTTCATCCTGAATTTGGCACCCTCCGTTGTGACTCACTGAGGTCCGGTCAGAGGTGGCGTTTGGCGTTTGTTGTAATTCACCATCAGGAATGTGCCAGCTGAGATTCACAGCACCCATAAGGGCTGAGTGACACTGACGTACTTGGTACTGCTTAGGCCAGATGGCGTTTCTGAACTGCCTGTTCCTTGTGGTGGAATCTCAGGGCCTGGTCCCCTCTCAGTAACGGTCTCAAACCTCCTTGGAGCAGGGGAGAACGGACGCCCCTTCACTCTCACTGAGGGCTTGACCCTGAGTGGCTTCCAGGGGCGCCTCCAGGAACAAGCAGAGGCACTTTGCCCTGCGAACTCCGGCACTGTCAGATCAAGCAGCAGGAGAGACCTTGATGGACACGGCTTCACCAAGAGTCACATTCCACTTGTTTCATTTATTTGAGGGGCTACAGCACCTCCTAGGCACTGAGCTACAGGGCACCATATGTGCTACATGGGACACAGACCAGGGCTACAACAATACAGCACTCCCTGCTCTCCTCTGGCCTCCCGCGAGTCACCGGTGCTCCTCACTGCGCAGCCATAAGACACATCTGCACAAAGACAGCACAGACATTCACACTGGACAACAGGCAGCTCAAACCAGCTCCCCCACCCAGGGGCTGGCTCTCCTCCCAAGAGACTGCTGAGGGGCAGACAGATGAACCCTGGAGCTCCATGAACAAGGCGGTGGCTGTCCTGCAGGCTGCCCCCACCCCTGAAGTGCAGTGTTCGCAACAGGACCTGACACCGGAGAGCCAGCTTTGGATTCCCCAGGATCGCGAAGTCCCTTCAGCTACTCTGGGGCGCCACCCCATCCCCTGGCATTGACACTCCTTCCAGACTCCTCTGCGGCTTGCCCTGCCCTGGTTCTCTCCTGTCCCCCAAGCACAGACTGACTGCTCCCATCTCTGAGCTACACTAGAAAACTAATTTCAGCTTCTGAAAGCCTAACGAGCAAAAGACGACGTCACTGCTTTGGTGCCCCGAGTCAGTAACTACGAGCTACACACCAGCTCCAAAGAGTTTGCTCTGCATGGCGCCCGTCGCCAGCTTCAGGCACTTTGCCCTCAGCTCTGTTGGTGGGATCCTTCTGCCGGGGGCTCCCTTCAGGCCCCTTCCCGCAGGCAGAGAGCCTCGACTGCGCCGCTGGGGCCCTGCGCCACCCCTCCGATCACAAACAGCAGGCTTGGGGCCTGGTAGCTGGAGCAGGAGCAACGACCAGTGGGCATGGGGGGCAGCAGCTCCCACTTCTTCCTTGGTATGCTAAATCCTTCCACTGAGCCCAGGGGGAATGACTGGTTCCCTGCAAGAGATGAGACATTAAACCATCAATGGGCAGCAACAGAGGAGAGAGCCCTGGGTGTGGGTCAGTCACAGGTTAAGAGACACCAGTGGGACATGACTGTGAAAAAGGCAAGCCTCAGCTGTGAAGACAGAGAAGTCTGAGTGCCGTTGGGCAAGGCACAGGCTAGCCCTCCGCTGGGATGCTGTGTGCAGCTCTGGGCACCTGCGGTCAGGAAAGAGGAACTTAAACTGGATCCGGTGCAGAAGAATGGGGAGCATCTCATGAGAGGAGACAGGGACAGCTTAGCTTTTTGGCCCAGCAGTGAGAAGACCGAGAGGGGAGCTCAGAGCTAGAGACCCACCAGGGAGGACATAGAGCTATTAAAGCTCAAGGACAAAGTTGGCCCAAGAACCAAGGGGACAAACTGGCCAGGAATATGTCAGGGTGGTCACTGGAAGGCTATATCCATTAGAGGGGGCGGCTTTGGGACAGCCACCCAGTTGGAGTGGTAGATACGCTGGAGGGTAGGGATAGGATACAGAGGGACCTAGACAAATTGGAGGATTGGGCCAAAAGAAATCTGATGAGGTTCAACAAGGAGAAGTGCAGGGTCCTGCACTTAGGACGGAAGAATCCCATGCACTGCTACAGACTAGGGACCAAGTGGCTCAGCAGCAGTTCGGCAGAAAAGGACCTAGGGGTTGTGACGAAGTGGGCCTGTTCTTGATGTTTCCTCCGAGCATTGCGGGGGTGCCTCGGTTTCCCCTATGCAGTTCTTGAGTCTCTAGGTGGTGGGGTAAGGGTGTATGATCATTGCAGAGCCCTAGAGGGCAGGTGTGTGCAGGGGTCTGGACACAGAGAATGGCCGACACCCTGTTTCCTGGCAACTGATGGCCTGGGCCCTTCCCCCCTGCAAGGTGAGAGCTGAAGGGTTGGAGAACAAAGGAATCAGGTGACCACCTGGCCGGGAAAGGAACAAAGCCCAGAGGAGGAGGGGCTGGAGGGAGTTTCAGTTTGGGGCTGGCTGGGACATGGAGTGAAGTGCAGACGTGGTTGTCTGGCTCACTGCCCCCAGAATGGACCCAGCTGAGGGGTCCCGTTCTCTGCACCTGCAAGCTCTGTTTTAGACCATGTTCCTGTCGTCTAATAAACCTTCTGTTTTACTGGCTGGCTGAGAGTCACGTCTGACTGCGAAGTTGGGGTGCAGGACCCTCTGGCTTCCCCAGGAGCCCCGCCTGAGCGGACTCGCTGTGGGAAGCGCACGGAGGGGCAGAGGATGCTGAATGCTCCGAGGTCAGACCCAGGAAGGTGGAACCTGTGTGAGCTGCGTGTCCTGAAGACAGGCTGCTCACAGAAAGGCGACTGCCCCAGAGTCCTGACTGGCTTCATGGGGAGCAGTTCCAGAGCATCGCCCAGGGACTCCGTGACAACTGGTGGCAGCGGTGGGATGTACTGTACCCCGTGGACGGCGCTTCCTGCAGTAAGTGACTGGGGAGCAGTAACACGCAGGGGGATTGACGAGGACCAGACGTGCTGAAGGCTCAGAGAGGAGCGGTTTCGGGGGGCGGTTAACCCCTGGGAGTGTGTGACCAGCGAGAAGGACTGTGCAGTAATGGGGTCCCCCTGGGGACTGCAGTGAGCAGTCTCAGGGGCGGAGGAGTCTGCAGCTCGACCCTGGCAAAGAGGTGGTGACCTTGAGAAGGGCTGGCACACTAGGGGTTCTCCCTGGAAACCGTGGGGAGCTGAGAACACACGGGCCTGTGAGTCCACAACAACTTGGGAAGAGCGGAGTGACGGCCTGTCACTGTCTCCTTAAGAAGGACATTGTAACCCTGTGCAGAAAGAGAGGGTTGACTTTGGAAAGTTCACCAAAGCAGAGTTAATCGTGCAGCTGGAGGAGGATGACCGCTCTAAGGAACAGATTCCTGACCCCAACTGGGGCTATAGCAGGATCTGGGAGCAGCTGGAGTGGGAGCCAGGCATCCCCAAGACTCCTGTCCCCAACCAGACGAGGGTCTTCACGATCGGGTTCCCCATCGGGGGATCGAGACGGACGGGATTGGAGCTGAGTCCGAGAGAGCAAGAGGACCGTGGGAGACAGCAAGAGCCCGAGAAAGAGCTGCAGAAGCAGCAGCAGCATGAACTGGCAGTGGGGGAGCGGAGAGGCCTAGGGGACCTCCCCAGGGTGAGTGGGGATAGACCCCGGGGGGCCAGTTCCGCAGGGAACCTCGAGACTAAATTGCTGCCCCTAGTTAAGGAGGGGGGGTGTGTGGATGCCCACCTCACTGCCTTTGAGCAGGCTGGCGATTTGAACCAGGGGGACCCTGCGGAAAAGCCCCGGTGTCTAGCTCCCTTGCTGGGTCCCAAGGCCACAGACTCCATCAGCCAGATGGGTGGGGAGGTGGACACGCTCCCACTCCTGACCCCAACCTATATGTCTGTGTGGAGTTTCCTGGGGCCAGGCCCCTCGGACCCCCAGTGGGAGCGGAAGGGGATGGTCAATGGGGAGACATTCCTGGGGTGGCGAGATCCTGGGACAGAGAGAACTGGTGTCAGGCCCCGGGTGGTGCAGCCTCAGATGCTGAGGGGCTGTGTGAGCTGGGTGAGGGTCCCAGGGACGAAGCCCTCGCCCTGCCTATGGCCCAGATCCCCGTGCAGACCCAGGAGGGGGTGGGGCTGGCTGGTCGTTGGGGTGCTCCAGGACACCAGCTGCGAGACCCTGTTGTGGGGTGACTGTGTCTCTTTGGGACAGGATCCAGGCCCTGTTCCTGTAACTGCCAAGGGTTTGAATTTGAATCCAGGGAACCAATCGGCAGAGAGGGAATGGTCAGTGAAAATGCAGATGACCTGGCTGGCAGCAGGGAGGAGCCGCTAGGCTCAGGCTACCTGCCTGCCTGTAACCAGACCCCTGGGGCTGGGTGGGACAGAGAGATGCTCCCTGCCCCCTTGCACACCAGACTGGGGACTCTCGCTGGCTCTGATGCATTGAGGAAAGCAGTGGCCTGCCCCCACTGGGACAGCAAGGGCAGCGCTGAGCACAGTGGGAGCTGAGACCCCAGCTGAGTGGGGGGAGACACAGGCAGGGCAGGGGATCTGTGGGGAGTGGCAAGGTGCTTGGTAAGGGAAGTTTGGATGAGCCTAGGCAGCCTTGTGAGCTGATGGCTGTGTCCAGTCAGCAGGGTGGGAAGGCGAGGAGAGTGGAAGATGAGAGTCCCTGGACCTTACCTGTTAGCTGGGTGGAGAATTGGGACAGTGAAGGAAATGGGTCTCTGTCTGTCAGGGGTATTGACTTGGAGGGAGCTACCCTGATCTCCAAGCAGTTGTCTGTGACCAGCCTTGTGTGCTGGGACAAAGGGAATGAGATCCCAACCTGTGTGTCTGGTAAAGGAGAAAGTGTGTCCGGCTCTTCTTGGTCTGTGGAGCAGACAGAAGGGGCCTTTCAGCCTGTGATGGTTGAGGGTCGTGCAGTTGTCTCAGAGCTGGTTCTGGATTCAGCTAAAGCCCAGGAAGGGAAGGGTCTCCTGCTCGGGAGAATGGCCCTGTAACTAGGTCGCATCCAGTTAGGGTCTATGTAAAATCCCCGAGACCAGACAATTCTGGTGCTTGTATTTTGCCTGTTGCTAGTGTGTTGTTGGGAAAGGTGTAGCAACTCTGTCTAATCAGGGTGAGATCCTAGCCAGGGCACAAGGAGAGCATGAAGGTGATGTGATTGTGTTACCTACTGAGGGTGTGGAAACCTGTAGCAAGAAGGAAAAGATTCCTGAACTTGTGTGTGGCAAAGGGAAGGAGAATGCTTCTGACCTGTTATCTAGGAAGCCTGTAAGTTTGCCTGAAAGGGGATTGTGTAGGAATCCGCCTGATGGGCCAGAGGTGATTCTGGATGTAAGGGAGACCCAGAAAGAGTCTGTAGTTGCTCAGGAAAGTGTTCCCCTAGAGCAAGCCCTAGGTAAAGAGGGTAAGAGCAGAATTTCTGGGAGGGGTGAATTGTTGCATAGAAAAGCCCTTGGGAAAGGAATCCTCATGGAGTCTTTGCAAGCAGTTTACTGCAACTGAAGGGTGTGAAAATGATTTAATCAAGAAAGTTTCAGTTCCTAACAGCCAGAAATTTTCTGTTGTGAATGGGTCCACTGACTTTCCTGTTGAAAGATCCAGTGTGGAGAGCTTTGAGAAGGTCTCAGATGGAGTGAAAGCTGTTAAGAAAGGTATACCGTCCTATAACCAAGTGGCTGTGTTTGGCCAGCTTGTTGGGGAGACAAGGTTGTGGAGAAAGGGATGTCTCCATGCTAGTTCTGTAAGTGAACAGTATGTGGCCCAGGTCAAGATGGGGGCCCTTAACCAAGAGAGCCCGAATTGCAGCCCTCCAGACTGGAGCTCTGGGAGAAAACCCAATCCCAGTTTGACCCCCTGGGGTTTTTGGGGTGGCCAAAGGGCATGGGCTGCAGAAACCTTCCCACATGCAGCCTGCTAGTGCTATTGACCACCCCCGACCTAAGGGAGGGCGTGAAACTGGAAGGGCCTGGTGTAACTCCTACCAAGGAATGGGAGAGATGCTGGGGCATCCATGGGAACATTGGTGGCTTCGAACTTCCCCCAGGTCACCGGGTAAAGTGACCCCGCTCAGTTCAATCTCGAAGGGGGGAGAGATGTGACGAAGTGGGCCTGTTCTTGATGTTTCCTCCGAGCATTGCGGGGGTGCCTCGGTTTCCCCTATGCAGTTCTTGAGTCTCTAGGTGGTGGGGTAAGGGTGTATGATCATTGCAGAGCCCTAGAGGGCAGGTGTGCAGGGGTCTGGACACAGAGAATGGCCGACACCCTGTTTCCTGGCAACTGATGGCCTGGGCCCTTCCCCCCCTGCAAGGTGAGAGCTGAAGGGTTGGAGAACAAAGGAATCAGGTGACCACCTGGCCGGGGAAAGGAACAAAGCCCAGAGGAGGAGGGGCTGGAGGGAGTTTCAGTTTGGGGCTGGCTGGGACATGGAGTGAAGTGCAGACGTGGTTGTCTGGCTCACTGCCCCCCAG